GACGACGTCGAGACCATAGCGGTCTGCCGCCTCGTAGCAGGTCGCGATGACGCAGTCTTCGGTCCACGCGCCGACGATAACGATGGTGTCGACGCCCCACGCCTGCAGCATCGGGTAGAGGATGTCGTCTCCGTGCTCGTCCTTGTCGGCCATCTTGGAGAGGTGCCAGCGGCGGGGAGGGCGGCATGGTCGGAGGGAAGGAGGGACGGCCGACCTCCTTTCGCAGACACCTTCGTGGAGAGTGGCGTCCGCTGCGTGAGTCGCAACATGCCAGCGGTCGGGTCTGCGCCAAATGGACCGGTCTCGGCTCATCTCGGCTGATCTCGGCTCATCTCACATCGACTTGATGACGAGCGACTTCTCATCCTCCGTGATCGGTCCCATCGCTGGCACCTAACACGCCAGCCCTCGGCTCCGGCCGCGCTGCTCTCGTGCCGTGTGCGGACCAGCCACCGCCGCGCAGCCCGCCGTGTCGGTCGCGTTCTTGCTGTACCTCGTGTCGATCCAAACGGGTTCTCGGCGTGCCCTTTGATGGTGCCTCCCGGCGGGTACAGGCCGCGAGGGCCCCAGAAGCGGTCGATGGCTCCTGCGGGCGCGTCGTGGACGCGTCAGGGACGCGTCGTGGGCATCGGCATCATAAAAGTCATATACCTGCTGGGCAGGCGGAGGGCGCGGGAGCTGGCAGCGGCGCTGCGCGGCTGTGTGCGTTGCGGCTGTGTGCGCTGGCAGCGGCGCTGCGCGGCTGTGTGCGAGGCTCCGCAGAGGGTAGAGCGAGTGAGACGAGCGAAGGCGCGGGCGTCAGTGCGGGCTGCGCACGGGAGGTAGTCATTCTCCATGTCCAGCACGAGGAGGCAGAAGGTTCGGGTCTGGTCCGCCAGAGCCCAGTCGGCCGAGACTTGCATCAGCGTCTCGATCGGAGGCTTGCCTATAGAGAGTGAGAGCTGCGCTGTCCGATCCTCGATGCGGCGGAGCAGCGGTCCGTGACAATGGCACGCCGGCGATCCAGGTCGGGACTTCGCCGTCGTTCTTCTTGTATTTGGCGTTCTTGATCGACGTATTGGCGAAGATCTGGGCGGAATAGGCCGGCAGGAGCAGCGCGAGCATGGGGGTGGGAACCCACCGTCTAGGAGCGGAAGGCCCAGAGAAAGCACAAAGGGAAGCATAACATAGCTGACGACTTTCATAAGCATAGCTGACACCACACAAGACGCCAAGCACAAAAGAATAACAACCACGACTCAGGAGGTCTCATGCGGAAGAGTCAGAGATACACAGAGCACCTAAAGGAGCAAGGCATACAGCTGTGAAGTGGTCTCTCCACTGACAGCTTAGTGAATGTCGAGACCTCGAGAGTTTTTCCAGAAACTGCGATCAAGGAGAGAGAGAGAGAGAGAGAGAGAGAGAGTGGTTGTCACCACTTTGTATGCTTTTAATATTAACCTTGCGAACTCGTCCCCCCCGGCAGGGCTATGCAACTGTGACCAGTGTGTGCTGTCTACGCCTGAACCAGGTGTCAAATCTGCCGATGCGTGACCTGTGCGTGGGCTGCTCTGTGAGGGGTCCAGGCGTAGTCCGACGGGTAGGGGGTCTGTGCCCGGGCGGTGTCCGGTGCGGAGTCTCTCTCTGATCCCGCCTGGGATGTTGGGTGCGAGGTGTGGCGGCTTCGATCCCAAGGGGGGGAGCTGATCCCACTCGGTAACCAACTCTCAGGGGCAGTAGGTGGGCGAGCTTCAAGCGCGCTCATCTCGATCGTCAAGGCGTCGCTACGCGCGGTCTTCCGCGGGGGGAGCTTCGTCGACGGGTGCGGGACTGCGGCGCAGACAGTGCTGCGGCAATGCCTCCGGCTGCTGCGGCGAGTGGGGTGCTGCTCGCTGCGATGGCGAAGAACTCGTCTCGTCACACGCCAAGGGCTTACGCTCTGTCGAGACGTGAGGCGTATGCGCCCAGGAGGGGAGGGCGCATGCGTAACGACGCTGCTAGAGATGCCTTTCGGGGCCCAGAGATAAAACTTCTGATGCCATGCGTGACCTAGTAGTGTCCCCAGCTATGGGCGTGTCCACGTTGGAGCCAGGTGTGGTGTGGACGCGAGAATAGCTCCGCCGTTCATGGAGGCAACCGATGCGAGTCGACTGGTGTGTGTCGTCGTGGTTTCGTATCAAGAATTCTCTCTCTCTCTGCGATCAAGGGAGCGGCCAGGGCTCATAGACTCGGTCGAAAGACCCCAGATTGGCATCCATGCTCGGTGTCTTAAAGAAAGAAAACAGACAACCCAAGGGAGGGATGGGAGGACGGCACGCCGCCACCACACAGGGATTTTAAGGAGAGGTGTGTGGTGCGCTAGCCGTCGCCCACCCTAGGGAGTCCGCCTCTTCCTATCTCTCTTCGCAGTCTCTCTCCGATTCTCGCTGCAACCTTCATGCCACCTCGCGGTCGTCCCACTCTCGTCGTTCTCTCCCTTGTCATTTCCTCCTCTGTCGCGTCGTTCCCTTCTGCCTCGTCCTGCGACGCCGCCGCCTGCCGGTCCCTTGTTCTCGCGGCTTCTTTCGCCTTTCGGCGCAACTCCGTCCTCCTCGCGGCGTATCTTGTGCGTATGCTCGGTGTCTTGTTTTGCCAACCCGCCGCCAGAATAATTTTTTTGGCGCGCCAACATCCCGGGCTGCTGACGCACTACTATCCGCCAGCGAGAGATGGGCGTACGCATCAAAACCTCGTTCCCGGCCTACTTCACGACGAAAGAGGCGAGCAGCCATGTGCACTGGCCGACCGGCCAAGTGTCGGTGGTGGAGGAGTTGCCGCTGGTGCACGTCGCGCCAGGCGACTCGCTGAGTCAGCTCAGGGACAAGATCTGCGCTGCGACAGGCCTGCTTCCTGAGGTGAGGCCTGCAATCAAGCTCGTCGACGAGACACCTCTGGTCCCCGTCGGTGATGACGATGACTCGGCCCTGCAAAAGCTCAATGTCCGTGTGCACAGCCACACCAGTGGGGACTCCAGCACCGGCTTTACGGACTCGTACACCGCCGCGATGAGTGACACCAATGTCATGGTGGTGCAGAAGGAGGACAGCTCGATCGAGCTGCTCAAGACCTCGCACAAGGAGCGCACGCTCTCGGGCGACGGAGCGTGCCCGAGCTTCTTCTCCGAGTCGACTGTCCGCGTGCAGCTCGACTTCGCGGCCATGTCGGCAGAGGACAGCCATTCGCAGCGCGTGCTCGTCGTCTCGGGAAAGCCCGTCACGCTCGCTCCCGACCAGACCGTGAGTGAGCTGCAGACCGTCTGCGCCACCCTCCACGGCGTGCCAGTCGAGAAGCAGGCGCTGCTCGTGAAGTACTTCGGCCGCTCCACGAGCGTGCGCGTCGACGACGCGGGCAGCAGCGTGAGGCGGCTGAGCGAGCTGGACGAGCTGCTGAACCGGGTCGGCCGATGCATCGAGCTGCTCGACCTGCGTGTCCCGGAGCAGGCGTGGCGTGTCCCGGATCAGGCAGCGCGGCTCGCACCACCGCAGCAGCTGCCGAAGGCGTCTGGCCGCCCCGGTTCTGAGCGCGGACCTGGCGGCATGCGCATCCAGCTCTTCGTCAAGTTCCTGCCGGGCAAGACGGTCACGCTGGAGGTGGAGCCCTCCGACTCGATTGAGGCCGTCAAGGCGACGCTCCAGGACAAGGAGGGCATCCCGCCCGACCAGCAGCGCCTCATCTTCGCCGGCAGGCGGCTGGAGGACGGCCGCACCCTCTCCGACTACAACATCCAGAGGGAGTCGACGCTGCACCTGGTGCTCCCGCGAGTGCTGTTGTTCGCGGACGCGGCGGCCAACGACCCACGGCACGACCCGCATCGCATGCAGATCTTCTGCAGGACGCTGACCGGCAAGATTCTCGTGCTGGCGCTGCACCCGAACCACACCATCGCGGAGGTCAAGGAGCAGATCCAGGGCAAGGAGGGCATCCCGCCGGATCAGCAGCGCATCTCATTCGCCGGCATGCAGCTGGAGGACGACGGCACGCTCGTCGACTACAACGTCCAGAAGGAGTCGACGCTCCAGCTGGTGCTCCGGCTCCGCGGCGGCATGTTCCACGAAACGTCGGGGCAGCTCGACTTCGCCGCACTCGCCGCGCTGCGGCAGCGCGTGACGCTGCGCACGCTCGACGGCAACGCCATCCACACCCTCGAGCTCACCGGCGCCACCTCCGTCCAGGTACGACGCTCCGCACGAGCTCCGTATGTACTCATACAGACAGTGTGGCAGCACCCAGCCGCTCCTCCCTCACTGCTGCGTGCCTCCTTCCCTTTCCTTTCCCCGCGCGCAGGAGCTGAAGGAGGCGGCCTCGACGGCGCTCGCCGCCGCGGCGCGCGACGCGGAGGTCGACGCCGTCGACGCGATGAGCGAGGCGGAGGCGAAGGCGAAGCTCAAGCAGCTGCTCGGCAAGCGCGCGCGCGAGCCGCCGCTGTCGCCTGCGCCGGCGGCCGCCGGCAGCGGTAGCAGCGCGCCCGACGCCGGCGGCGGCGCGGCCGACGCTGAGGCGCGCAAGGAGCCGCGCCGCTCGCCGCGCCTCGCCGCGGCCGCGGAGCGGCACGCGTAAGGAAGGCCAATCCTCGTAAAAAGAAAGACAGAAAACATATAAAACCCCAAGGGAGGGAGGGACCAACCTTTTGCCCGGATCCCGCGACAATTTTCTTTTTCCCGATGTAACTGTGTTAGTGCCAGCGCCGCTGCAGAGTCATCCAGTTCACTCTCTCCACGAATCTCTTCGGAGGAAGGCCTGGTCGATGGCCACGCCGTCCTGCTCCATCGTCGTGACGGGCTTCGGCCCGTTCGCCGACGTCGAAGAGAACCCAACCGACTGGCTCGCGAGAGAGCTCGCCAGCGGCGCTGACGGCTGGCGGCTTCCGCACGGCGTCCCGCTCCGCTCGGCAGTGCTCGAGGTTTCGACCGAGGATGTCGACGCGCAGCTGCAGCGGCTGCACAGCGGCGACGACTCCTCCGGCTGCGTCATCTACGTGCACCTTGGCGTCGACGCGAGAGGGCGCGGCTTTGCACTCGAGCGCACCGGCGTCAACACAACGCATTTCGTGTGGCGGACGAGCGAGGCCGCCAGCCGACGGACGAGCCCATCGACGCCGCGCCGGCCGCGCGTGGCGTGCGGGGCTGCCGCCGCAGCCCTCTGCCCCTCTCCTCTCTGCGGGATGCGTTGGCTGCGAGGTCGGCCGAGGAGATCCGTGTCTCGGACGACGCAGGCCGGTGCGTTGGCGTTAGGGCCCGCAACCTATCCACGAGCCCGCCGCTGTGGGTGCGCCGAGAAGCAGATTGTCTGCCCACCCTCGCCGGCCGGCACCGCGCTGCTGCTGGGATGGCCAGACGCCCGAAGACGCCCTTGCCTGACCTGCAGGTACCTGTACCTGTGCAACTACACGCTGTACGAGTCGCTGCGGCTCTCGCACGCGCACAACAACAGCTCGGGCGCGCAGAGCACGCAGAGTCGGCACACCGCCCTGTTTGTCCACGTGCCTCCCTTCGAGGCGGTGCCGCGCCGCCGCCAGCTGGCGCTGCTGCAGCACCTGCTCGCCGAGCTGGCGGACGAGGCGCACCGCGGCGGCGGCGCGGCGATGCTGCCCGCGTGCGGCGGGGCGGTGGAAGAGCTGAGCGAGGGCGAGCTGCTTCGCGCCGCGGCGGCGGCGGCTGCGCGCGGCGGCGGCGTGGCGGGGACGGCGGGCTCGCTGGGCGAAGACGACGAGGCGCGTTTGGACCAGGGCAGAGGCGAGGGCGGCGAGGGCGGCGCGGCTGCGGTGGGCGGTGCGGCGGTGCGGCGGTGCGGCGGCGTGGTCCCGATCGGGGAGGCGGAGGAGGGCACCGTGGCGGTGGGCGAGGTGGAGGGAGTCGAAGTCCGGCTGTGGCACGAACACAAGTGGTTGTGCGCGATAAAAGCGGTATGCGGCGTTCTCCGTTCCCATCACCTCTCTCCCGAGAGAGAGAGAGATTTTTAGCAATACCAAACAACTCTAACACTTACACACATTATTTGGGGCTGCTCTCCCGCGCGCAATGACGCTTTTGAGGCCGATGCATGCACACACACAGATCATAGTCAGAGATGCGAGCATAATTTCAATTTGTCGACTACACTCTGCATCCACTCCTGCATCTACATTTACAAACATGCACAGCATATTCTCCATGACCTCTACGATTCTGCATCACATCTACCTAGCTCACGGGGGCGGAGCCGGCGGCGAGGGGGAGCACGAGGGCCAGTCGCCCGTGTTGCTCGCGCCCACAAACTGAATCTTTGTGCAGCACTTGGCACCTACGGACGTGTCGCGGACGCATCATCAGCGTGCTCTGTGAGTCGACTAGGCGAGCACACCACGTCCGAGAGGGAAGAGTCTAGGAAAGGAAGCGTCTTGGAAACAAAGGTCTCGCACTCGTCTTGTCGTTGCCCAGCTCTGCAATGAAGTGGTCGATGTTGGTGAAGAGGACCTGCCGGTGAGAGTAGACGAGATGGAACATGTACGGTGCGTGTATGCTTGTATGCTCCCGCCGTCCAGCTGGGTGACACAGAGTGTCTGGACGAGTGAACTGGTTTTAAACTAGAGCACCTGCAGCGCGCCGGACTGCTGGTCCTCGGTCATGCTCATGGGGTCTGTCACGTCCGGAATCGTCGGGTCCGTCCCCTCCGACAGCCACTGCGTGGCCCAGCCGCCGTAGTCTGCCGTCTCCTCAATTCGGCTTCCGTAGCGCGCCGTGTCGTACGTGCCAGACGTGATGGCCACAAACTCCCTGAGTGGAGGCAGTGGCAGCGGGGGAGCGGGATGGTCAGACCCGTGTGGCAGTGAATGCGCAAGTGTACGGCCTTGAATGGCTCGGCAGTGGATTGAGGGCACCTGGGGCCCATGTCCAAGAATGTGATGGCAACCTTGGGGAGCACGGCTGCCGTCCCGTCGTCCGAATACTGGAAGCCCCAGCGCACCTACGGAAAGGTGCGCCAACAAAACGCCTGCCACAAGAGCCTGCCTCACGGCATTCAAAGTGCGCGCACCTTGTACGACACGCTCGTGGGCTGGGCCACTCTCCAAGAGCCGATGCCGTCGGAATTAAAGCTGACCAAGCAATGTTTGCCGTTTGTAAAGCCGTACGTGGGATTGGAGTCGTCACACTGCGGAAGGTCACCGTCCGGGGAGTCGAAGACGAGGTCGATGCTGCGGCCGTCGTGAACGCCCACATTCGCCACATGAGTGGAGAATGGCCCAGTGGAAGAGGTACGGCCTGCGTGGAGACGACGGGGCGATGCAGATCACAGAGTGACGGCGGGAGGCATCGTGGCCGCCAAGTGCGTGCGGGCATCTACTAGGCCTGGCCCGCAAAGTTGTCGGAAATGGTGTTCTGGCTCGACAAGTCGAACGAGAGCATCGTCAACTCGCCGACGCAAGGAGCGTCCTCTGTGGCAGGCGTGGACGGCGGCTTTGGCGGCGGCGGCGACGCGACTGTCGCGGTTGGCGGCGGGCAGGCTTCCTCGGAGAGGCGACGGCGCTGAGCGGCGGCCGCCAAGTCTGCCACGCGCTCAACGGACGACGCCTCGACTGCGCGTGTGGTCAGCGCGGCGTCGGCGTCCTTCGCCGCGTCGAATCTCGAAAAGGCAAAGTCAGTCGCGTGGGCGCTGGCCATCTCATAATCTGGTGCCGTGCCCTCGATGGCGCCCTCGGCCATTGCGCTGGTCGTGACGCTCCCTTCCCATGGGTACACATCCATCTTGCCATTACGCACACGCCCAATCGTGGTGTAGGACTGGCCTATGATGCCGTGTGGCTTGTCGCGAGACGGAGCTCCGCCGCGCGCTGTGAAGCTGATGTCGAGCCGATTCTTGGGTCCAGCTATATAGTCCTCCGCGCGGAAGACCGAGCGCATGCCGCGCACTGTGACAGTCCAGTCGTTCATCTTGAAGGTTGCGGAGGAGTGGTCCATTGCAATGGCGAGGGCGTAGCACACCTTGCTGCCGTGGAACCCGAATTTGAAGGGCCGACCAACGCAGGTGCCTGTGACAACTTGCCAGCCAAAATTGTTGCGATCGAGCTCGGAGGCCCAGAAAGAGGCGGTCGCGTTGCGGTTGTCGGAAAATTTTGCCACAAAGTGGGCCTCCACGAGGAAGGAGCCGTTGACGGTGAGGGCGCCGTCGTGGAGCTTGAAGATCGCCTCCTGTGTCTTGACGTTGACCGCGAGGTCGGGTGCGGAGAGGAAGTTGTAAATCCCATTGTTGCGGCCGCGGAAATCGGCACTACCGCCAAATGCGAAGTTAAGATGAGGGTCCTGAAATACCTCGCTCGTCAGGCACGGGTCGGTCATCCCGAGAGATGCGTTGGTTCTGCGCGAAGGCACTCTGGGACGCAAGCACGCGTGCGACCAGACCAACCAACCTACGAACACGGACGGTAGGGTACATGCCATGCCATAAAGTGGCCAAAAAAGCATATTTTCTTTTTTCTCGCAATACTCCCCAGCCGCCTCGCCGCCGCCACTGCCGCGCCTTCGCCACACACGCCGCCGCCCATCTGCCTCCTCGACCTGCCCACGGACCTCCTCGTGCGCGTCCTCTCTCAGCGGAGGCGGCCCCGCCCTCGACTGGACGCCGCGCGAGATGGAGGCGGGCGATGTCACCGGCTTCTCCTCCAAGGTCCCGCACCGCTCGCGGCCTGCGGCCTGGCCCTCTGCTCCGCTTAATATGCTCTCATAGCGCGCGAAGACTCGCCCCACCCGTGTCGCGCTCCGGCGTCCCCCCCCCCCCCCCCTCGGGCGCGGCCGTCATGTGATGCATGTCCCCGTGTAAGCAGCGCCCCGCCGCCCAACCGCCTCGTCCAAGGCGCGTGCCGCTCGCTCGCTCGCCGCCGCCGCTCGATCTGCCGGCCTAGTCCCTCCGCCGCTCAGCCGGCGAGGCCGACGCCGCGGGGGCCCATGCTCCGCTGCTGCCGCCTAATTAGGGCGGGGGGCGGGAAAGGTGGACGCCTGCAGGAGCGGCTCGTCCATCTCGATCAGCCGGTACGCGGCGTCCGAGAAGCCCTTCGCGAAGGCGAGCGTGGTCATCGAGTCGGAGAGGAGCGGCGAGAGGATTTGCAAACAAACATAGGAAAAAAGAAAAACTCGCCGGACTTCATGATGGGCGACACACATGCGCCGCAGCCGGCGCCGCTCTCCTGGCAGAGCCTCGCGGAGAGCGGGCGGCTCGCCCGCGCGCTTGACAGGGAGAGCGCAGCCGACCCGCACATCCGAAAGCTCCGCCTCACCCTCGAGCCCAAAGCGGAGCCGCACACGCTGCGGCTCAAAATGCCGTGCGACTGCGGGAGCTGCATCGTCAAGGCGCAGATGAAGGCGGGCGCCTCCTGCCTGGTGCTGGTCTGGAACGAGGAGAAGCAGAAGTGCTCGCTCCGCCTCAAAGAGCTCGCGGACGCCGCGCCAAGCGAGGGGGCGCCTGCGACCGCCGCCGGCGTTGCGGCTGCAGAGGCGGGCACTCAAGCGGCGGCAAGCACTGCCAGCGCCGAGGCGGTGGGCGGCGAGGGCGGCGAGGACGGTGGCGGCGACGAGGAGGCCGGCGGAGGCGGAGGCGGCGGCGGCGGCGGTAGCGGTGGCGAGGCTGCGCTGCCGGGAAGCAGCGCAGCGTGTCCGATGGAGTTGGACAGCGACGACGAGCCGGAGCCGGCGGCTGCTACGGAGCCTGCGGCCTCTGCGGAGGATAGCGAACAGAGCCCGCCCCTGATGGCGCCCGCGGCGGCGGCGGCAGGGGCAGAAGAGCCAGCGCCGCTGGAGGAGGGAGCGGCGGCGGCGGCGGATGAGGCAGAGGCGCCCGTGGCGGTCGCGGAGGGTTTGCGTCTGCATTTGTCGAGCAGCAGCAATGCTGGCTACAAGGGAGTGCGCAAGGACTCGCGAAACGGCCGCGCCAGCTTCTACGTGCAGCACAGTGTGCGCGGAAGAAATGTCGCACTCGGCCGCTTCGACACCGCGGTGGAGGCGGCGGTGGCGTACGCGCGGGCGGTGGGCGAGTACCAGCCTCCGGCTCATCCTCCCCCGACGGTGGTGACGGAGGCGGAGGGGCTGCGGCTGCACTTGTCCAGCAGCAACCCGAGCGGCTACAAGGGGGTCACCAAACGCCGTGACCGCTTCCAGGCGAAGCACGGGGTGGGCGGGAGGCAGGTCTATGGCATCTTTGACACGGCGGTGGAGGCGGCGGTGGCGTACGCGCGAGCAGTCGGCGAGGCGCCGGAAGCGGGCTCGGCGGTGGCTGCAGCAGCAGGGCAGGCGTCGGCGGCACCGTTGGGTGAGGCGGCAGAAGGCGCAGCCGCTGCCGAGCCGTCGGTGGAGGAGGCGGCGGTCGCAACGCCGGCGGCAGGGGCAGAAGAGCCGGCGCCGCTGGAGGAGGGAGCGGCGGCGGCGGTAGCGGAGGCGCCCGTGGCGGTCGCGGAGGGTTTGCGTCTGCATTTGTCGAGCAGCAGCAATGCTGGCTACAAGGGGGTGAGCAAGGACTCGCGAAGCCGCTGCTTCTACGCGCAGCGCAGGGTGGGCGGAAGGCACGTCTCGATCGGCCGCTTCGACACGGCGGTGGAGGCGGCGGTGGCCTATGCGCGAGCGGTCGGCGAGTACCAGCCTCCGGCTCATCCTCCTCCGACAGTGGCGACAGAGACGGATGGCTTGCGGCTGCACCTCTCGAGCAGCCACGCCACCGGCTACAAGGGGGTGACTAAACATCACGGTGGCCGCTTCCGGGCGCAGCACTGTGTGCGCGGAAGAAAGGTCCAAGTCGGCATCTGTGACACGGCGGTGGAGGCCGCGGTGGCGTACGCGCGGGCGGTCGGGGAGGCACCGGACCACTCCTCTTTTTCCGCCGCCGCCGCCGCCGCTGCCAGTGGCAGCGGCGCCCGGCCCCGCCCAGCAAAGCGCCCGCTCGAGCCGACCGACGCGCCGCCGCCGAAACGACGCTCCAGCCGCGCCACCGCCGCGGCCCCCTC